AAAAAAAAAAAAAAAAAAAGATTAAGAACAACAAGATATGGAATCCATAAATCAGAAAGGAGAAGGCATGGAAAAGGTATAAAAAAAAGGGATAGAAAGCATAGAAAACAGCACAAACAAAACAGGGACAAAAATGAAAGCAAGTAAGAAACAAGAAATAGACAATAAGCAATAATGAAAAAGTATTGGCTAAGGATTTTTTAAAAACTGATGAGAAATACCACACATAGAATAAATTAGTTCTACAGATCCCTGAACAAACTAAACCGGAAAGAATTACACCTAGGAACCTTAGACACAACTGCTGACAAGCAAAGGGAAAAAAAATCTCAGTAGCAGCCAGAGGGAAAAAATCAGTTAACTGCAAAGGAGTAATAACAATAATGACTGCTGCGTCTTCAAGATCTGAGAAGCCAGGACATGCTAAAAGAACACGTTAGAAGTTTTAAAGAAAAAATGGTTGGCTAAGCTAAAATTTTATCTGGATCAAAAAAATACTTCTAAACATTATCATTGAAAAATTAAAGGTAACCAAATAAACAGTAACTCTTTTATATTTATAAAGATGTACTTACAAAAATGTCAATTCTCTCTGGAATAATTTAACTTCCCTGCTATTCTAAGCCCACATCATTGTGTGTGTATGTATGTGTAAAAACACATACTATAAAATGTCAAGATATGTAAAATAATCAAGAGGACATAAATGGCATGAAAATAAACAAGGTATGAGAATCTAATGACAACCAGGTATTAGCTTTGCAAAATACAAATTTTTTCATTTGGAAAGAAATGATTTCTCAGAACATAAACAATATGTTACTTGTGCTTGGATGTAATTAATGTATTTTAAAATACTGATTATTTTTAAGATAAGTGAGTCTTGGCTTTTACTTTACACCATAAATAAAAATCAATTCTGAAATACACTACAAAAAAAAAATATACTACAGAGTTAAATCTGAGAAGTAAAACACCACAACTTTCAACGCAAAGACAGATAAGCATGTCTTCACAAATCTAAGGGTGGGAAACATTGAGTCTTTGAAGCAGGACACAGAAAGTATTCATCAGGTTAGGAATGTAGCTCAGTGTTTGCCAGACAAGGTCTAGAGTTTGATTTCTAGTAACAAATACAGAAACACAGAGACAGAGACAGAGAGACACAGAGATAAAAATAGTCGGGGCTGGAGAGATGGCTCAGTGGTCTAAAGTGCCTACTTAGAACAAGCTTAGCAAAGCACAGGGACCGCGGTTCAATCCCCCAGCACCACATGCCAGCCAGCCCCGCCCCCTGGTGGGCTGAGCTGGTCACACACACACACACACACACACACTCACACACAAATAAATAAAAATTAAAAAAAAAATAGTCATTACAAGGGGAAAAGGTGCAGAAGCTAGAAATTGGTTAAAAACATCAGTCAGGATTTCTGTTGTTCAAAAAGTCTATAAAAGTATGAAAATCATTTATTAGTAAATAGGGAAATGTAAAATAAAAGCACAATAAGTGAAATAATCAGCAAAATGGCTAAAAATTCAAACTAAGCACAACTCCTGACAATTTCAAGTGTTGTAAAAGACATAGGACAACTGTAACTTACTATATATAGTTAGTAGTTGCTAAAATTCAAGGATTTTTTTTTGGGGGGGGGCTAGCTCAGGATGCCTTAAGGGCAAGTCTGGTAATGCATGAGGATCTGGGGATCAAACCACAGCATCCTGAGCCTGACTGCTTTGTTTAAGCAGGCAGCTAAACAACTGAGCTAATGGGCAGGCCCCCAAAAGAATATCTGTATGGGGTTCCATCTTTTGAAGAACCATCTTTTTTTTTTGGCAGAACTGGGGATTGAACTCAAGACCGTGTGCTTGCCAGCTTATTTTATTAAGCTATCTCCCCAACTCAAATAAGACTGGTATAACCATCACAGAAAATTACCAGAATCTTTTAAAACTGAACATATAGGTTTTCTTTAATTTTTGGGTTTTTTTTTTTGCGGAACCAGGTATTGAACTCAGGCCCTTGTGTTTGCCAGGCAAGTGCTTATTCTACTGAGCCATCTCCCCAACCCCTAGGTTTTCAGTATTTGTATTCCTATTGCTCAGTAGCAATCAATAAAGGGCATATAGAGAAAACAGTAAAAATGTTCACAGAAGTTATCTACAATAATCTAAGTATTTACTAAAAGTGACACCAATAAAATATATTTATTTTCAGGTAAATATATACATCAATGAAAAATAAGAAGTGAAAAACATCAAAGAATCTTACACAGATTTTTTATTTTATTTTATTTTTTTTTAAAGGCAGGGTCTCACTACATAGCATAACCTGGCTTTGAACTCACTATGTAGCCCGAGCTTACCTTGAACTTAGGGCAATCCTTTTGCCTCATCTCCCAAATTTTGGGATCACAGGCATGAGCCACCCACACCATGCCCAGTTCAGACACATCTACTAAGCACAAAAAGCCAGACCAAGGGCCGGGGAGATAGCTTAGTGGCCTAAGCACCTGCCTGGTAAGTACAAGGTCTTGTTTGATCTCTGGTACCCGGGGGGGGGGGGATGACGACACATGGAGGGGGGGACCCAAAAGATTCCATCTCTAAGAAGTTGAAAATGAGGCAAAAATAATCTACCATGACAGAATTAGAACTGATTACCTTTCTAAAAAGGAGCTGACTAGTGTCCTCTAGAGAGCTCTTCTGTTTTTATTAGTAACAATTACATGCATATGTTTATTAAAATCTGTTTTACTTGGACACATTTTGTGTGCTCTATGTATGCTATACTTCATAGTTTAAGAATGTATTTACATTTGTTCTATAGAAACTGCCCTAGAATAAATTTCAATGCTAAAAGTGAGAATTTAAGCACAAAGTTCACAAATTGAAGCAAATTATGGCCATACTTACCAAAAGAGAATTTGATTGCCACTGTATCTCTCATAGCGTGCTCTTGCAGACATTAACCTAACAATTTTAAAAGGAAATTTTTGAACGTTATTTTGTTTTAAAAAGTCTGCTATTAAATCAGCAGAAAATAATCAGCTCTATAAGAAATTTTCACTAAACTTCATATTTGGAAACATTTATAATGCAATAACTACTTTATTAAAGCAATTAAATAATATTAAGTGGCATCAATTTTAATCCTCATATGATGATAAAGCCCATTAACTCACACTAAATGTTACGGGAAAAAAATGATTAATCTGGTTTGCCACTTCATCCTCAATGAGAACAGGTATGCACCAAAAATAAATCTTTAATATTTACATTTGCTTGCCTGAAAAAATACTTTTACTGGGGCTGGTGAGATGGCTCAGTGGTCTAAAGCACCTACCTAGAACAAGCTAAGCTAAAGCACAGAGACCGCGGTTCAATTCCCCAGCACCACATGCCAGCCAGCCCCGCCCCCTGGTGGGCTGAGCTGGCCACACACACACACACACACAATAAATAAATAAAATTTAAAAAAATAAATAAATAAATAAAAATATTTTTTAAAAAAATACTTTTACTATTGACTGTTTTATTTTTCAGCTTTCTTTCTTCCTGATGTATTTATGATACAGACTAACACACGAATTGTATCACAGAAACATACAATATAGTAAATCCCAAATAATTACATTGTAGCAATCTGGTCCATAATCAGAAACTTAAAGATACTCAGGAAAAGCAACTGGGTTCTTGGAAAGAAAACATGTTTAATTAAATGTCATATAAAACCACATGTGTCATTATATGTTTTCACACATATAATCATAAAAAGGTAAGATAAGCAAGTCATTTGGCCCACTTTACAGAAAAGAAAAATGAGGGTCAGAAAGGTCCTAGGTCTTGTCCTCAGGGATGTATAGCCAATCAGGGCTCTTGCTTCTTCCACTGAATAAAAGGTAGCATGTCATCTTAAGCCATCCGAGATACTATCAATACAAGCTATGAAACTAGGTTATATTTTCACTAGTTAGCACCCACTGAGCACTGTGCTTTGTTTTTAGATAAATTCTCAAAACATGACAACAAATATACCATTATACTGATTTTACAGAAGACAAACTGCAGCTCAAATAATAGTACTTAAGATCCCATGGCTAAGAAAAACTAAGTTAAGAAACGCAAATTCCTATGCCCATCCTCCCGAAATTCCTAAATGACTTGGGCAACTACCTTTCCAAACATTTCCACAGCTCACACCCTTCTCACTATGTTCCAAATACCAAAGTCCTGCTTTTGGTCCTTGGCTCCTTCCTGTCATTCTGAGAGGTCTACATTAAATCATCTAAACCCACAGAGCTTTTTCATTAGCTTACTTCATTCACATCACTATGCTTTATTGTATTCACTGTGCTTATCAGTAAGGGATATTATACACAATTTTTATCTTGTTTTTTTTCCCCAAACTCCAAAACCATTTGCTATCAGAATATACACTCCAAGAATCAAGGGATCTAATAAAATTTGTATATTCTGAGTGCTTCAAACATACAAAGAACATAAATAGCATTTAACAAATATTTGGTAAATAAATTGAGTAATTACACAGAACAAGCTCTTAAACAGTGCACAATACTTACCTAAGCTGATGTTCCCTGAGATTTGATAATATTTCCATTCCATGAAGATAAGAATAAATAGTATTTAAATCCTGTAAAACAGAAAAGTTTTTATTGTTGAAATACACTTTAAAAAACATGATGGGGGCTGGAGAGATGGCTCAGTGGTCTAAAGCACCTACTTAGAACAAGCTCGGCAAGGCATCAGGGACCGCGGTTCAATCCCCCAGCACCACATGCCAGCCAGCCCCGCCCCCTGGTGGGCTGAGCTGGCCAC